TTCGAGATCCCTTTGCCGCGCAGTGGCGTCTCTGCTGGCGAGCCTCCTTTCTCTGACATGGCTGGGGGGAGACCTGTGACGCTCGCGCCCACAAGAACGGGAAAGGCCTCCGTTTACCTGTGGTGGCAAACGTCGGTGTGGTTGAAGTCTGCCAGGCCACGGGTGGCCTTGTCTGCCGCGGACTAGCGGCATCCACTTGTCCCCCTGAGGGACTCATCATCTTGAGCCAAAATGGCTACGGAGGGGGAGGAACAGGAGGAGGAGGAGGAGGAGGAGGAAGAGGAGGAGGAGGAGGAGGAGGAGATGGAGGAGGAGGACGAAGAGGAGGACGGGTCGCCTAAGCCCTTTGGAGAAATCCTCCAGGTCGATGCGTCCTCCCCTGCGCCCTATCGCCCCTTGACGCCGCCCACGACCCAGACACAAGACAGGAACTGGCGGCATAGAAGCGCAAAAACTCTCGGAGCTCCGCGCAGATTTCTTGGATCTGCGCTGGGCCCCCCCATGGCCCGCGGAGCGCGCCAGGGGCGGCGCCGAGAAATCCGCGCGGAGCTTCGAAAGTGTAGATTTGCAAGGACGAGGCCAGGACGAGGCGAACATCGGGCGGGGATAGATCAAACACCTCTGAGATCTGACGGTTTTGGAGGATGTCTCGGGCGCCGCGACTTTCTCAGAGCGCTGCGGAACGCTCTGAGAGCGTTCCGGAACGCTCTAGAACGAATTTGTCCTCGTCCTCGCTTCGCCCGAGAAGTGTATTTCTTGCTCTGTTCCCTCAGGGCCATTATGTTTGACATGGAAGCAACACGCGCGAAACAAGACGCACACCAGGGCCACGTCGTCCTAGCACCGTTCGGTCTATGTTGTTTTTTTGTTCGATCGATGGATAGGGGGGGCCCCAGATGGAATTTGCACTGCCCGAGGCCCCTCGCCCGCGAGGCGAACTCTGACGCCGCGACTTCTGCGCAGCGTGGGCCGCCGGAATAATTACTGGACCCCTTTTCCAAGGACCGATCTTTGCAGTCCTTCCAGTGATTCCAGTGGCCCAGCCGTCCGCAACGCTTGCACGGGAGGGTTTGCTTGAGTGAGTTCCTTGATGCGCTCGGCGTTCGCGCCGCTGCCACCCTTCGTGCCGCCGCGGTAGAAGTCGCGCGCCTTCTCTGCCTCCGCGCGGGGCTTCTTCGCCTGCGTCATCATCACCGTGTTGTCCGTCAGGAAGGCCAGCAGCTCCTCAAAAACATGCTCGTGTTCGGCCGCTTCCTCCGCTCCCGGATCGCCCTCGGAGTCCACTTCCTCATCGTATTCCGCATCCTCGGGCCATTCGCCGTCGTCGTCAGCGGCTTCATCCGGGTCGTCCTCCTGGCCGCCACGCACCGCGTGCACGGGGCGACCCCCGTCGCGGCCAGTGGCCCGTGCCAGTTCGGTGAGCGCTGCCTCCACCGCCCGCGCTCGGCGGCAGGGCCGGCGTCTTTCGCAGCATCGACACGCGGGGCAGGCAGGCATTGGCGGAGTCCCGCAGCTTCTCGTAGACCAGCTCGTTGCCTGCGCCAGTGATGATCTGGCTCTCCTCGTCGCCTCCCAGTCGCAACTTCTTCAGGAAGTAGTGAGCCTTCAGGCGCTTGTTGCGAGGCTCGTTCATGGCCTCCTCCATCCAGCTCGCGGATCTTCGCCTCGTAGCGCGTCTCGAAATCCAGCACCTCCTCACCGACGTTACCCGCGAGCTTCGCCACGAACTCGTCCACCCGCGTGCCGACCTTCAGCTTTTCCTGCTCGTCGTATTTGCTGTAGCGCAAGAGCACTTGGACGCCGTCGGGTGCCGCGAGGGCCTCGGGGTCGAGAATCCCTGTCTTTGCCTCGGCATCCCCTTCGAGCCTGGCGAGGAGCTGGCCGCCCCGCCTCTGGGACGGGATCGCGGTGTCAAGCTCGAATATCTTCACCTGGCGCTCGTAGGTGCGGAGTGTTACAGACTTTCCATCCCACTCGGGGACATATTTCTCGTCTCCCCCGTCGCGCCCGTCGCCGTCTCCAGCGGCTCCGCCGACGGCTCGCCTGCCGTCCAAACTCCAGGTCTCCGACCGTTCGCTGGACGTCCGATCCGGGCCCTGGTCGGCCCCGGCCTCCGCCGTCCACCCGTGCCAGGCGGGCGGCACACCAGGCTCCAGCCTGAGGGTGCCCCAGCGCCCCTGCTCCTCGGACCATGGACTCGCCCACGCATGCCACGGGAGTCCGTGAGTGCCCCGGTCACTCCACGAGTCCCATCCGCCGCAGTGACGCCACGCCTCGGCCGCGGGGCCCCCCGTGCCGCGGGGTATTCCTCTGGCGCGCTCCGCGGAGGCCTCGTGCCGCGATCGGCCCACGTTCCATCATCGGCCGATCGGAAGCCGTCATCCTCCTCTGGGCCGCCGCCGCGGGGACTGCCCCCCGCTGCAGCACGCCGTGCCAGGGCTCGAACTGCTGCCATCCGAGCGTCCGTGTCCCTCACTGTGGACATACATCAGGTTCTCCACAGGGGTCGGCCTCGCTGAGGCTCTTCCGCCGCGACTCTCGCGACGGCACTCCGTGCCGTGGATCGAACCCGCTCGACGGTAGCTCCGCTACCAATGTTGATGTGGATATGATGATTTGTTTCACCACAAGCGGCCGTGCCCGGCTGCGGCCAAGTCAACAGGGGCTACGCCCTCACGCCGGGAGGGCTTGCGCCAGAAAGCGGCGTCGGGAAGGGAGGTAGGTGGATGTGGCAACAGTGATCCTCAACACTCTTAATGGGGTCTTTGTTCTAGCTGCTGGGCCCTCCCGCCCATGGATTTTCACCCCGGAACCGTTCCAGGGTGAAAATCCATCTGGGACGCTCCCCGATGCAAAACGGCGCCGTCGGGGACAAGGGGGGTGCACCCGAGCCCTAAAAGTTGTCATTTCCCAAATGAAATTGCATTTTCATGTGTGTTTTTTCGCGGCTGGGCCCCCCCACCCAGTGTCAGGAGCGCCCAGATGGATTTTCACCCCGGCACCGTTCCAGGGTGAAAATCCATCAGGGACCCCCCAATGCAAAACGGCGCTTTCGGGGATGACGGGGGGTGGCCCGAATCCCGAAGACCGCCAGCACCCAAGCCCCCCAAATGAGAATTTTCTAAACATGAAATCTCTAATTCGGATGTTTTTTCTCGCGGTTGGGCCCTCCCGCCCAGTTTCGGGAGCGCCCAATTGAATTTTCACTCCAGAGCCGTTCCAGGGTGAAAACTCATCTGCCCCCCAATGCAAAACTGCACGAAGACCGCCAGCACCCAAATCCCCAAAATAAGCATTTTCTAAACATGAAATCTCTAATTCGGATGTTTTTTCTCGCGGCTGGGCCCTCGCGCCCAGTGTCGGGAGCGCCCGATTGAATTTTCACACCAGAACCGTTCCAGCGTGAAAGCTCATCTGCCCCCCCAATGCAAAACTGCACTCTGGGGGATAAAGGAGGGGTGTACCCGAGCCCCGAAAATAATCATTCTCTAAAATGAAATCTCCTACTGGGCTGGTTTTTCTCGCTGCTGGGCCTTCCCGCCCAGGTGTTGGGAACGCCCAAGTGGATTTTCACCCCCGAACCGTTCCAGGATGAAAATAGGGGGGGGGGGTACTCGAGCATCGAAAATGATCATTTTCCAAATGAAATCTCTTCTCGGGGTGTTTTTTCTCGTGGCTTGGCACCCTCGCCGTCTTGGGAGCGCCCAGATGAATTTTCGCCCCGGAACCGATCCAGGGTGAAACACCATCTGCCCCGCCGATGCAAACCGGCGCTCTCGGGGAGCTGCAGGGAGCCCAGGAAAGCGCAATAAGGCATTCAGCAAGGAGCCCAATGAGGCCTTCCGCAGGGAGTCCAATAAGGCCTTCTGTAGGGAGCCCAATAAGGATTTGTGTAAGGGGACAAATTAGGCCTTCTGGAAGGAGCCCAGCAAGGCCTTCTGTAAGGAGCACAGTAAGGCCTTCTGTAAGGAGCACAATAAGGCCGTCTGTAAGGAGCCCAATAAGGACTTGCAAGGAGACCAATAAGGCTTTCTGCAAGGAGCACAATAAGGCCTTCTGTAAGGAGCCCACCAAGGCCTTCTGTAAGGAGCACAATAAGGCCTTTTGGGAAAGCCTCAGATGAGTTTTCACCACGGAACGGTTCCAGGATGATTCTGGAACTAGGAACGGTGAGTTTCAGGCTTCCAGAATCACACCGGAACCGTTCGAAGTGACTCTGGAACCTGAAACGTTGGATTTTGCTCTGAGGGCGTTCCGGAACGCTCTGAAACGGATCCATCCTCGTCCTAGCCTCGTCCAATGGAACGTCTTGTCTAAAGTTTCCAGGAGGGTCTTGGGGGCATCTTGGGAGCCTCACCCCCGCAGTGAGAAGACCCGGCCCCCCGGAGTTCTCGGAGCCGTTGAGTGCAAGCTTGCGCCCACCCTCCCTCGCTCGCTCGCTCGATGCCCCGCCCACCTGCTCCTTTTCCTCCTCCAGCGAACGACGACGACCAACGACGACGGACGACGACGACGACGACGGACGAACGACGACGACGACGACGGCAACGACGGACGAACGACGACGACGACGACGACGACGACGACGACGACGACGACGACGACGACGACGACGGACGACGACAGACGACGACGACGAACGACGACGAACGACGACGACAACGACGACAGACGACGACAGACGACGACAACGACCAACGACGACGGACGACGACGGACGAACAACAACGACGACGACGACGACGGCGACGACGACGACGGCGACGACGACGACGGACGACGACGACGACGGACGACGACGGACGACGACGGACGAACGACGACGACGACGACGACGACGACGACGACGACGACGACGACGACGACGACGACACGACGACGACGACGACGACGACGACGACGACATGACGACGACGACGACGACGACGACGACGACGACGACGACGATGACGACGACGACGACGACGACGACCCGACGAACTCGAGCCGACGAGGCGCGC